CGACCTACCGACAAAATATCGATCTATAGACAACAGACTAATGCTCGAAATGAAGCCTTGTTTCATAGTGAACTCTCTTGAGGGCTACCTTCGTACTTTCACGCATACTGACATAATGTTTTCCCGTTGATAACAATAGTCTCACTGATGGGTATTTTGAAAATTTTTTTTTAAATGAATTCCTACGTGATTAGTGGAACTAGTCTTGGTGCCAGTTATTTTTTCATATGATTATCATCATAGAGCGGGAAAGTGAGAAATATAGACCTGTTTAAGGCGGTTCCGATCGGCCAGACTGGTTGAAGACGGTTTAGACCGGTTTAAGCCGGTAGACCGGGCGATCCCAAGTCCAGACTGGTACCGGACCGGACCAACCGGTTACCGGTATCGGCTCCATCTCTGCCCTTCTGTGTCCAAGACACGTTACCGACACATGATGTACAAAAAATTCACTGTGTCGACACGTGTCATTACATGTACGCTCATTGTGTCGACACATGTGTTGGTAGCATGTCCTATCGACATGGGTAACAAGGAAACACATTAGATAAGATATATGACCAGGATCAGAAAAGAGAGGGTATGAATGTGTTCTGAAAATAATGGCCAAAATAACACCCACACTCTAATATCTGAACAGCTATTCACTATTGTCACCTGTCAGCAGCCATCTATATTTAATTTAGTCGCTGTACGTTTTTTTCAATACAGCAGCTACTTTTCTGTAATTCGATTTTTTTTTACTGTTATGTTCATATACATCAACGTTTTTATTAGAAATCTGAAACAGACTACATCTATGGATACTTTGTTTCCATTGACAAAGTATCTGTTTATATTTTGTTCAAACAAACAAAGTACCACAAAGTATCATGGCAAAAAAATTGTATTCAAGAAAAATCGAAATATATCTATTACAGAGCTGAACAAATACCAATACCTGTGTTAGTTTCATGTCAGTAACATATCAGTGTGTATGAATGACTAATTGATGTGTTTATTATTATTATTACGCCTCCTTCGTCAAATTGTGTTGTTGTTGTTTGCCACTAAGTGACACAGATCACCGTG